TCTGCAGTGTCTTCCCTGCATGTAATTTGAGTCAATCAATTATCTCATGTTTTACTATTAAGTATATTAAAAGTTTAATAACTAGGAGATGGCTTCTCAAAGGTAGACCTCATGTTCATGTTAGTTGAGAGCTCAATCCTCTTATAATTTCAACCACAGCTTTTTCAGTAACTTCAATGAGAAGACTGGAGTCCTTGGAAGACTAGTTCCTCAGTACACCAAAAATGGTTTCCCTCAATTTTATTTTTTTTTTAAACAAAACAACAACAACAATTGGCTTTATAATAGAGCTGAAAATATGATTCAGTTCATTACAAAAAACAGACTAACCAAAATACTGATCAAGTTTAAAAATATTTCATCCTTCTCCCATAGGAAAAGCCAATTTCTTTATCTGGAATCTGCTAGAAAATGCCTAAATTATAGAGGAGCCACTGAATGAAATAATGTCTTTTGTCCAAAAACCAATTTGCTCAACTCAAACACCAATGGGTTCTTGCATGAAACTAAAGTCAGTCACATTTTTCACACTTACTTTCCCAAGATTGTGGAAAAAAAAACAACAACCAAAACTTTTATGATAGCAACTTCTGTTGAGATCCATGCAGAAAGTAGCAGAATCTCCTTGGAGAGTTCATTAAAAGATTTCTAAACCTTTTAAATACTCCTTAGAGAGGCTAAGATCATCCAGATAACTTTGGCATGATATGCCTAAATATCATTTTTTTTTCCTAAATCAATCCCAAGCTTCACAGAATCATTTAAAGTACACTGAAATTTCAAATTACACCAGATGCAAATTAATGGGGAAAATCTGGATATTTAGTGAGGTATATACTTCTTATCAGTACAGAGACATCAATACAGCCTTTGTGACAGATAACTCAAGTAAGATTAATCAACAAGAAGCAAATGGCAACTTCTCTGCTTAGTACATTACTTGACTGTACGCCGTGGATTTGCTTTCAGGTGATAATACAAATATGCCTGGGATTAATAATAAAATAATTTTAATTTCTGGCCATTGATTCTGGATGACCTAAAGATAAAATGGAAGCACTCAGTGTCTTCACACAGGCCCTAATGAACATAGTTTTCCAGGATGATACACCTTCTAATTTATTTCAAATCCAAAATAGCATAGATTACAAAAAGTCTGATCTCTGATCTAAGTTAAACACTGATTTTGGTTAATTAGAATGATTCTATGAGGTGCAGATTAACAGGGAAGACCCATAGCATTTAAGTTATATATACACATCTGAGAACTCTCAAAATCTGGCAATGAGTCTTCTGCTTAACTTCTTAAAAAGTTTGCTACACTGTGACAGCTCAATTAAATGGCACTGTCCTCTACCTGGCCTTTATCCCTTTCACTATTAGACCAATAAATTTTGGTCTATATACACGTTTATATAAATATTTATAATAGTATAACTTCTTCCATTATATTAGTTATAAAAAATACACAAGTATAAAGTACAACGACTGCATGAAGGATTATAATGGTAACGCCAGAAAACAAACAAAAGTTTTAGAAAACCCCCCAAAAACAAACAAAAATCCACCAAAACCAAACAACAGCAAAAAAAACCCAAACAAACAAACAAAAAACAAACAACAAAACCCTCCAAAACAAAACAACAACAACAAAAACCTGAAACCACCAAAAACCCCACCACAAATACAAAACCAAAAAACCAAACAAGTGTACTGGTAAGATATTTTAAAAAGTACATCAGTCCTTATCAGCAAGCAACAGGTTTAGTCTCTCTTTTCTAGCTCTAGTCAATAGACAACGCTGCTCTCTTTCTAACCTAAGTACAGGAAAAACTCCACAAAATAGAAGTAAAGCATTTAATAGTTAACTTCAAATGTGAGTAAACTGTATTAGCAAATTCAGAGGAATTCTATTTTACATTTAAACCAGACCAATTCACCTTTCTCCCATTTCCATTAGCAAATTATTGTATAAGGTTTTTGCTTACAAAAAGATAAGTTAGTTCCTTTAGACTATGAAAACCATCCATCATAAGAAAGGGGACTGCAAACTTAATAAAGCCTATTCTGTTAACAGATAACATTAATATGTGCTTGCTGCAACATGTATTTCTCCTTTCTTACATTGCAGAGCTGAGTTACCATGTTTGTGAGCAGACTGATAGTTAATCTGAATCATTTTGTCCTATTCTGGGCTTCATATCTGTTTTCATCCTTATGCTTCAGTATTGTTGGAATGAGAACAGCTGTGAATGGGCACACTACTATCAGCACTTTCTGTGAGGGATCTGCACATGGTCTGATAGCAGCTTGAATAAGACTGCTCTTATTCTGAAGAAAGGAAAAATGACAATTTCATAAATCTTCTTTCAGTATTTAACACCTTATTTTCAGTGACAATTTCCACATTCTGCCTCTGAATACCATCTTCTTCATTCCACAAAAATGTATTCAAAGAAGCATAAGCTATAGAAGTTGTTACATTAGGTAATTGCCTTTTTCTTATTCAATATACAACTTTAGATTTTATAGAGGTAAAACTCTATTAATACCTGTGAAATCACATTATGTGCAGTAACTAGAATAGTTATCTTCTCACCTGTTCTCGTCCTGTTCCAGGCTCTAGCTTGCTATACTCCAAAGAAGGTGAAAGTTTAGAACAAGAAGGCAAAAATTATTTTAAGCTGCCTTAATTTCTCCTTCAGGTTTAGACACCCAAGCAGAGGTCATCTTTGTCATGAACTAAATTTCCAAGTTACCTACAGGCTGGTTTGCACCTCAAGAAAGCACTGAGCCAAGAACTGCTCACCCTCTTGTCCCATATCCAACAAAAAAATTCCTATAAAGCTGTAGAAGGTGCATAATGCACTACATCTACACACATAAAATCTTGAAGAAACAGAAATTTCTACATATAACATTTGAACAATACCTTCTGTACATAACAGCAAAGGAACAATTTTATTTTGACCCTTTGACCCTAAGCCATTTTCTCATAGAGTTTCCATCCAAAAATTCAATTCCTATTTTTAGAGAAAAATGGGGAATATGTCCTGCAGGATTATAAAAAAAAAAAGCCAGTTAAAAATAAACTGAAACAAAATGACAAACACTTGCTGCAGTTTTCATGGGCTCTAACTGACAGAGCCCCCAGTGTGCTTATTTAGGATGCACTCTAGTGGACACACATATAACAGAATCAAACAAAGATACAAAAAACTATGAAAAGAGATTAAAAAGCAAAGGCCACGTGTTATTAAAGTTACTTCGTAGCATGTTCTAAAACACTGTCTTGAATTTGAAGGCTGTGTGAAGGCTGAAATTTTTATAGTCAACACGATTGGACATAAAATGTAAATGGACGTGAGTTACTTATCAATTTTTAAAACTTTTATCCAAAGAACAAGAACAGTTATACTTACTGGTTCATAAGAGAACTCCATCTATTTATCCAATTACTCCATTCCTCTGAAATTGTCAGAGGAAGCTGCTGTGCTTACAGTGTTAACAGGTGCAATTAGAACAACAGTATCTGAAAGTATGTCCTTAAAATTATATTTATTAGTAACAGTTAAAATAGTATAATCATAAACTGTCACAAAATCAGTTTACTGCAATGTCAACCATAAGGGCATATTCATGCCACCAAAAAGGTTCTTGACTATCATAGAAATTGCAAACCTATACCAATGCAAATTAAATGTACATAGAAAGCCTGACCACCTCGTCACAAAAGTAGTTCCATTTTTCATTACTTTAAAGGTTACATAAACATTTCTAAGTATTTATACCTGGTAGAGTGACATTTTTCTCTTTTGATTTTAAGGTTATTCATGTAAGATATGCTAGTGAAAAGCACTCAAAAAGCAATGAAGCAATAAAAAAGGGTACAGGAAATTTTAAAAAAATGTATACTTTATTTTTAGGGGAAAAATAATATACTACTATACTAAAAATCATTAGTGCTTACATTTTTAAAAATTGATAGTATTATACTTAGTAGGAGCTACATGAACAAATGTTATGCAGAGCAAAAAAATATTTATTATGCAATTGACCTTTGCCTGTGTAGCATATAGATATTTTTAAGTTTGCCAAAGATAGCAAAACCCTTAGAGCCAGCAATAATATAAAAACATTAAAGTGAAATTATCACAAAAATCTATTTCATCCCAAAACTGAAGAATGCTGTGAATGCATTAACTGCACACTGAAATTGTAATGAAAGATATTTTCATTATACAATATTGGCAATGACTTAATGTTAATTAAGTCATTAACTAACTTGTATTAGAAGACACTGAGATACAAAGGCACATTTTATTGAAGCATTTCTTAGTGCTGATGTCTTTTTCATTTATAATGAACAGACATGGAACATTCTTGACAATCTATACCAAAATATCAGAGATTACAGACATCTGTTCTTATAAAATTAATGCATCTTTAGGGATTATAAAACTTATTTTTGTAGATAACTATGGATCAAGCTAAATATTGTTCTTAATTTTTTTAGAAGTGAAGCTTTAAGAAATAATAATGGTATTTAGTAAAGACAACGTAGATTCAACTTGTTGATTTACAAATTCAAGACAAATGCAGAAAAGACTTAAAAACTTGACTTATCAAAACTGATATGCGGACTTGCAGCTCACTTAGTATCACACAACACTCAGAAAAGGTTATTTTAAAGTCTAGATCAAACACCCAGAGCTACAAAAATAACCTAATGATTTCTAAGAGACAAGATCTTCTAGTACATCTGTCAATTGAGTCAGAGTTAAATTCATCTCTTCCAAATACATTGGAAAAATATTCTGATTGGATTTTTGCACCTAGTTTGATGTGCAGAACTCTCCTCATCTTCTAACCTGTGGAGCATTCCCTTTTTCTATCAGAAACCATACAAATTCTTGAAAAATCTTTTTTCAAAAATATCTCTTTTAATATAGATTCAAATTATCATACTGTAGCATCTACCCTCAAATAATACCAACACATTAATTTTATCTGTATTTATTATGGTTACACTTCAAGTATCAATGTGCAATAAGCAGAAAATCTATTTGCTTCTCTCATTTCAGTTGCAGTTTTCTTCCTCCAAGTCAGCCATGCTAGCTACAACTGTTTAAGAACAAAAAAGAAGAATCAATGCCAGAATTAACAGGCTTTATACAAACACCCTGAAAACAAACACACTGAAATAGCAGTATGTAAATCAGTTCTTCATATAAAATACATAAATCAAGATACCACACTTCAGGATAAGCAAGTAATGAGAAGAAAATATATTTACTGCTTTCAGGTCTGTTCGGAACTTTCTTCTGCTTCTGCTGTGAGATCTGTTTTACTCTAAAAAACAACAAAAAAATTCTATCACTTACCAGAATTCACTGAACTTTGTAAAAAGGAAAACAGAAAAAACTGCATATGACAGACAAGTTGGTACTCATCAGTTTAATCATCTATTCTTTCATTCAGTGGAATACAATGAATGTTATCATCAGACTTTTATTATACAATTCAGGGAATCTGGATGAAGCATTGTGATTCTGAGGGCAGAATTATTTCAAAAGTAAAGGCCTATATATTTTACTTTATTGACTGTTCTTAATTTGTAGCTTAATTCAACAAATATATAACTGTAAAACCTCAACATTACCAAAGGCCAATGTAATCAAACTTTAAACAACTTTATGCATAAAAACTTGAAAGATGGCACATGTAAGAAGCAGCAGGTATGTTTATTAGTTTTTTTAACTTTTTGTGATTTGCTTATTTAAGAATTCATAAAATATGCCTGAAGTCTCAAGAATAATTTTTCATACATAATTATCAGAAAAATTGCGGCTATATGAGATATTGAGAATTCATCTGATTTACCTTAGTGGAAAAAACACCTGTGAAAACCTGACCATAAGAATAGTCATAAGTATGATAATAATATATTTAGAGAACACTCAAAAAATAGGCTGTTATTAAAGTAGATTTAAGCATAAAGCACATTAATATCACAATATAAATTCTGAGCTAGAATTACACTACTGATAACGGAAAAAAAGTGAGCAAACTATTAAAGTCAATAAAGGAAAAAGTTTTCTGCTAATGATGTACTAAAACTAGTATATCAAAATCTCAAGTTATCACACTCAGAATACTCTAACTGGAAAATGTCAGACAGGTCTCTTAATGACCAATGAATACTCAGAAAACTGAGTGATTTTGCAGGAGTTGGCATCATCTGTTAAAAGCACTGCCTTGCCTTGCTTTAAATGAAGGCTGATTCATGTTCTCTCATTTCCTTGGACTGTCAAGTATAAAAGGAATTAAAAAATTAGAATGGCTTAACTTGCACTACAGAACAGGCTACGGGCAGTTTGGAGGTTGGGGCCAAAATGCCATCCCTTAAAGCCATGGGAGAGAACCAGTAACAGTTTAAACCTTCGATAGGTCAGCACAGAAAAGCAAACCTGTGAGAATCATTCATTTGTAATCTCTTTCTAAACACTTACCTCGGGCTGTCCACTCTGATCTGGCTCCTCCTCAGCTTTGGTCAAATCAGGGGTTCCAGGTCTATCTGTAAGTTCAGATACCGTCTTTTCATCTTCCTATGGTAATGAAAACCAGTTTTCAGTTAAAAATACTCCATGTCATGAAATCTACAGAAAATATTTTAAGTATGTTAAAAAGACATTATGTATCAATATAAGGAGAACACTTAAGGTAAGTACTATAAAATTTGTTAGTATCTGAATACGGTCTTTGCATGCTTAAAACTTTTTTTTAATAACAGCAATTTCAGTTTAAATTTCTACATATTCATTTTTTTTGACACTTTCATACTCTAATCTTTCTACAATTATGTTCTGTCAGTATATTAACAGAGTGTTCTAAAAACTTATGTATTTCTCAAACATTATGTGCTCCACATAAATTTAAGAGGTATTCACATTTAAAGGCTTTATTGAGATAAACAATTAGCAGTCTATGTTTTTACTGAAGTAGCATTAAAAGACCATATTAAAAGACTCAGACATCTGTTTACACACTCTTCTGTTAGTATAAATTCTCATGTGCCAGGAAGATCTCAGAATCAAGAGGCATCACAATTCAAAACCACAGTTCCTTTTCCAGGTACAGCAAAGGACTTTAAACTCACACTCTGTAAAACACTACTGTCTCAATACTTAAGCTAGACATGCTTATATTGTTATAACTTTCTCATAAATGCCATGAAGGAATGTGGAAGCATCAGCTAAAATAGCCCTATACTAAATTTTGCAATAAATATATGCTCTGTTCTGAATATATACTAATTAAACCTAATAGAACAGACCAAAGTCCAGGCAAAAAATTCAGACTGCAAAACCAAGGTATTAGACATTTTTTCCCCCATTTACATTTTTTAAAAAAATTATATGTTAATTCAAAGCTCGTGGGCTTCTGCCTTGTGTTTCATAATTGATGCCTGCATTCAGAAAAGCTTTGGCTTAAACCTTTTGATCTTCCTGCTGCAACTGCACGTTGTCTTCTTCACTCTGCAGTTCCAGCTTCTCACGTTCTTGCTCCAACTCAGCCTTCTGACGTTCTTGCTCCAACTCAGCCTGCAATCAGTTTAAGAAAGGACAAATCAGAAAGAAAAAACCCCACGTTCATATTTCCACTGCGTTGCTTACAATGCATTTCATAACTGAAATCACAAATAGAACAAAAAGGAGGCATAAAACCTAACTGCAGTGTTAGTAACAAAGTCCTTTCAGTATCATCTGGCTCAACATTTTCAAAGGTTTTAGACTCTCATGGATAACAAGGCTTTACTACCAAGGGGAAGGAGAAGCAGTTGACTGAAGTTAGTGTACACACTTTGGATACTGTCTCATTCCACATGCTCTTTAGCAGTCTATATTAGTTATCTCCTATACTTTGGATTAAGCTCTTTGGTACTTTATACAGTATCTAGCACAAATAGATGAACCAATATAGTATCAAATCTATAGAAAGGACTGGTAAGCAATATCATTAACATTAATCATGTCCATCAGCAACCTTTAGTATTTCCAATTGGAATATCTAATAGAAAGTGTCTATTATTTGTAAGCATTAAGTCCTATTGCATCAAAACTTCAGAAACTTCATAATTAAGTATTTACGTTCAACAGCACTAGAGAATACTGTTAGCTCTTGCATTTTGTGAGCAGTTTTAACAAATACGGTCATATTGTTGTAACTAGTTTTCATGTTCCTTTTTGGTACATATAATCAAAATTTGCCTAAATATTTGACTACAGACAAAATTGTTAGGTTAAAAAATGCATCTAACATGAGTATTATTCAATATTTTTCCCATAGTTTATATGAAGTGATTTATTTAATTCTCTGTGAATTATCTCCAGGCACAATTCTTATTTCTATTTACTATCCAAAATCACTCATGAAATCCTTCAGCACATAACTTATGGTCTGCAAATTAGGAAATTCCAAATTTAAAAATTGCAAGCGAAATAGAAGGAATGCATCTTACACTAGAACTGGGCTTAACGTGAGCAGCACGAATTCAAAATTACACTTTTAACATTGTGAATGTTAGCCAGGCAAAAAAATCCAGTCAGATCACGTCAACATCACCACAGCAACACTGAGATTCTTATAAGTTATCAAGTTTACATGAATCCTTTCTAAAGAATAGCTACAAAGAGAGACATTATATTTATTTCTCAGAAGTCCAAACAGTACAGGATTCTAATTGCTTTATGCCAACAGAAAGTTCAGGCAGCTAAGGAAAGAAAAAGGCACCTCACTGCATCAGGCTAAACATACTGCTTAAATAAGCAATCTTCATTCATTGGTTCCCAACCATTTTCAGGACTCTCTAATTGTGTATATGTTCTCATTACCTTTTTTGGCATTACTGATATTACGCTGAAGCAGCTTGAGATAATGATTGGTTATTACTCTCAGATCTCCTAGCATTTTTGCAATGATTTCTAGCTTTATTTGCACCAGCTCTTGCTCATAATTAACTACAGAGGATAGTCTACTTATTTTCAGCTGCTTCTCATGTAAGTCTTATGTTGGTTTCTTTTCAACTTAAGTGCCTTCATTTTTAATAACATTGTACTGCATAGTAAGCTTTCCTACCCACGTGATGACCAATAGTTTCAGTTATTCAGAAAAGTGAGATTAAAATACTTCTTTCATGCCAACTTTATCAAAACCATTAGAGATTGGAAGTACAGAAAGAGCTACAGGATGCCACAGCACAGCACCATACGCTATTTAGAATTATGTATTACTAAGTATTATTAACCTGACGTTGTTCTTCGAGTTTCTGCTGGATCATCCGCTCTTCTTCCTCCCTTTTTCTTAATATTTCAAGCTCTGCTAGTGCTGCCTCCCGTTCTTGTTCCAGCTCAGCACGCTCCAACATTCTCTATTTCAGAGGTTACACAGAACCAATTAAAAAAACCGGAGATATATACCATCAATTATATTGTAATGATTTTCTTTTTTGCCTAAGTTGGATCCACCTTTTCTCCTTCATCTAAGTTTCTTCTGTAACGGTAAATCCAATGTGCAAGATACTCTATTGGATCTGCTGGCCGATGCTCTACAACCTCTGCCAGCCCCTTTTTCAAGCAATCTCCCAGGCATTGCTTCAGATACTGAGACTCCATCCGAATCTATCAACAGGAAACAAGCAGGTATTAACTATGAATGACAGAATTACATTAAGGGGGTTAAAAATTGTTGCCTCGGGCAGTTAACTCTGAATATGACATTACTTTTTATGAACCTTGCAATATATACAGGAAAGTTATTTAAATTGTTTGTTGTATTGGTTTAGTTCTTATAAGCTCCAGTGATAGGTCAGTTACACCAATCACCGCAGAAAAAAATGCTCAACTCCTCCTCCCCTTATTGTTTAGATATGTGTATTTCACAAACTACCTGGAAATTCGCTGGTAATTCTAGGTCTACATGAGAGAAAAAAACCCCTTAAAAGCACAACAGGACACTGAGTATCTGTATATAAGTCTTCTAAGAACAGTGAAGTACGGTGAATGATCAAGGGCAGATTTTAGTTTGAACTAACGTAATTAAGACAGGTTTGCAACACCAAGGCCTGAAGGAGCCACTCTATACAGTCATGAAAGGCACAAATCTCTGAGCACACACGAGGTTTTACTCGCCCTATTTCAGCAAACACGACCTTTCCTTTACTGCCAAGGGCACTCAATCCCTTTGGCACAGCCCTGGCGGGGCAGAAAACCCAGGCTCTTGGCACTGCCCTGGGCGCGGTGGCCGGGGTGTGAATTCTGTGCCACCCTCTGCCTTCACGGCGGCTCCTGGCGCGGCGAGTCCCAGGCGAGCTGTGAGGGCCTGGGGGCATGAACAGACCTGGATTATCCCGGCCCTTTTCACCTGCATCGCCACCCACGCCCTCCGCCCCCGGGCTCTATTTAAGCACAGGCGGGGCCTCCACCCCTCCCCTGGGCTACACGCGGGGCGGGCCCGCTCCTTATCCATGTTCCTGGTGCGCGGATTTCCTGGGAGGACCTGGCACGTCACCCTTGGAAAGTTACTCGGACGTGGTACTGGCACCTCTTTGCTTCTAGCGCCGCGCTGTAGCTGCTCGCCTTCCCTCGGAGAACAGCTGCCAGAGCCCCGGTACAGCAGCCCCAGCCTGACCCGCTCCCACCCTCCGCCCAGCCCGGCCCAGCCGCTGCCGGCGCCGCCCGCCCGCTCCGGCACCGCCCTGGACGCGCGGGGTTGCCCCGCAACACGGCTGCGAGCCCCGCAGCACCGCCTCCACCGCTCCCGGGAGGGTGTCTCCTAGGGAAAAAAACAGTTTAAATGCGGTTGATGCTCTCTCTGCCCTCTCCGTGACCGGTTTCCACTCACAACAGAAAGGGGTGTCCATCCACATCTTCAGCCAGCCCTGTCTGCAATCAACTGGCAACGCACCGATGCTTCTCCGTTAATTTAGGGGATTATACGCATCTGTGTATGAATGCATGCGGACACGTAGATAAAGACTAGAAAGCAGTTCAGGAAAGAAAATACTCTTGGGATTTTAGCAAAAGGAACCTGAGCTAGCATAGAATAAGAACTTTGTAGCCAAGTACAGGGTGCGTTTTTCAATAAATACTTTATTATGGAATTTGAATTTCCAGCTTTAAGGCAGAGTTGTATTTTCTCCTTGGCTGACATTCACCTCCAATTTGACCAGCTGTTTGCTTTACTAGCAAACTTCTAGCCAGGTATTTAAAAACCCCTGCATATAATTACAGCCGGAAGAATTAATTCAGCGCGGATGTTAATCCTGAAGCTTAACGGCGCTCACGTTATTTTAGCAGTTCCCAGGCAGAAATGGAAGGCTGCAGAAGGACTGCTTCCCTGAGTGAAGAGCTACACGGGAGTTCCGTGAGAGGTAAGACGAGCCGGCTCCCTCAGCTCTGGGATGGGAGGCGGTGAGAAGGCGCCGGCCGGGGGGTGTCGCTGGCGCCCCGCGCACAGAGAGCGCAGCCGCCCGGCCCGGCCCGGCCCAGGCAGCCCCGCGGCCATGGCGGCGGAGAGTGGCAGGGCGGCCGAGGCCTGCGTGGGGCAGGTGGTGCTTCCCGGGGACCTGCTGCTGCTGCCCGCGCACTACGATGAGGACGCGGAGGGCGAGCGGCTGCGGCTGAGCGCGGGCGCGGCGCCCGCGGGGCGGCTGCTGTGCGGGCCGGGGCTGCGGCGGAGCGGGGCCGGGCTGCTGGTCACCAAGTGCGGGCTCCTGCGGCACCGGCCCGCGGGCCCCGGCGCCTACTGGGTGGACTCGCAGCAGAAGCGGGTGAGGGCGCGGGGGGACCGGGGGATGCGTGTCTGTGTGTGCGTGTGAAACCCCTGACCCGTGTGTGCCCCTGTCCCGCTCCAGTACGTGCCGGTGAAGGGTGACCACGTCATTGGGATCGTGACGGCCAAGGCGGGGGACGTGTTCAAGCTGGACGTGGGCGGCAGCGAGCTGGCGTCCCTGTCCTACCTGGCCTTCGAGGGCGCCACGAAGAGGAACAGGCCGAACGTGCAGGTGAGTGCGCTGGTGAGCTGGCGGTGATGCTGTAGCCGTCCCGTTTGGTGGCGCTTCTGATGCGTTTGGTAGCTTCTCCTGGTTAAAAGCGTTTTTTGTAAGCCGCCTATAAAAGGGAGAGGGCCGGTCTGCTTGCAGGGATTTCTCCTGGGCCCTCCTCGGAGGTTTTTGCAAGATTAGACTGCGGCCTTTCAGAGGCTTCCTAAGAGCACTGTAACTAGTGTAGTTTGATCCCTGTCAGGTCGTAGGCTTCCTCACTCTCTCATTTTAATTTTCCCATAATACTGCCAGCAGCAGATGCAGTTCACGAGTAGTGGGCATGCAAAGGGGCAGTATGAAGTTAAGGTTTTAAAGCAAGCTTTTATGCTATGTGATGCTGGTGTAAAATATTTGTGTCTGTTTTGCTTTTTTTTAATGACACTTAGAAACAGTTGTATGGCACATGCATGCCACACTTTCTGCACTCTGATGAAATATCATCACCAGAATGTAAAAACAGAAGAAAAATATAAAGAGAAGTAAAATAGCTTTATGTGGGTTTTTTTTGTTGTTGTTGTTCTGATAAGTGATTACAAGAGCAGATTGCTTAGACTTTAAATATCATTAGAGTGTGAAGAAAGAGGAATTCATATATGGTATTTAAAAAGACTGGAGCTATTTAACTCCTTTAAATAAAATTCTGTCCTTTTATCTTACAAATTCTAGTAGCGGTACAAGATAATTCTTCGTGGAGGATGCTGTCTTTAGTAGAAGAAGAGAAAATTAAAATTATTTTTCTATCATCACTGTTTTAAATCTATTTTGTTGCCTCACTAGAGGATCTTTATTAATAATCAGCATTTGTTACAAATGTACAGTATGATCTTCTCTTTTACTTTTGCTTTTTGACACTGTTTTGTTCAGGTGGGAGACCTTATTTATGGTCAGTTCCTCGTAGCAAATAAAGACATGGAACCAGAGATGGTCTGTATAGACAGCAGTGGAAAATCAAGTGGAATGGGAATAATTGGACAAGATGGCTTCCTCTTTAAAGTTTCCTTAGGTCTAATAAGAAAGTAAGTACTAAGAAACGTAAGTAGTTGCTCTAATATGTAATATGGTAGGTAGGATTTGCCAGTTGTTCCCTCCGAGCAGCGTGGGCAACTTGGTAATTGGTGTGTGTAGTTCTTGTGGTGTGTTTGTACCAGTTGTGCTGAATGGAGTATGAATATTGACCTAGGAGAAGCATTTATTTTTCCTTTTAAGGGATTTAGATGCTTTTCTATATGGTGTTGCATGACCTGTTTAAAAAAAAAAGTGATGTGGTTGCCAAGGGAGTGTGGAAAATAAAGCTAGTGTCCTAGCTAGCTTTATTTTCCAATATCAAACATTCAGGATAGTGTTTCAGGTAGGTACAGGCTACCTTGGAGTTTAAAAAACGGAGATACTTACTGTTCTTTTTCTGCTTAATGGAATAGTGGGGATGTACGTTTAGCTGACAGCTGATTAAAGAGGTTTGGAGTTTCTTATGCTGATGTAAAGACAAGATTTTTTTGTGACTATCAAGAAATACCAGATTATATGGATAAATGATAGTCAAGCTTTGTTGTTGCCTTTTGGGTGGGTTTTTTTGTTTGGTTTTGTTCTTTGGATAAGCAATCTGGAGATGTAGAGCCACTATTTCCCACCTGTAATTATTTGTTTGATTTATATGTCCCATCAGAAGTCAGTGTGAACTGATACAAAGACTTTTTGCAGCCATTCTGTTTGTTTTCCAAATTTTGTCTGTATGCAGGTAAAGCAATAACACTATATTACAAGAAAACTGCTAAATCCTGATATGTTTTTCTTCTTTGTGAAGCTGTTCAAGCTTGATTTAATCCTAGACATATTACAGTATTATTGAGAACTTTTACTTTTCAGTATGCTGCCAGCTAATAAAGTAGTCTGTTTACTGCTACTAATTTGGAAGTAATACTATTTGGTATTGTTTCCAAATCTTAATTAGGAAAAAACCCTGCTAAATTCACAACTCTTGTATTTTTTTTTTAGGTGCTATATTGATATTGTGTTACTATATTCAACTTTTTGGTGTTACTTTAGTAGCTGCCATAACAGCAGTGCTGCTGGTGTTACTGATGATAACAATGTGGTGTCTGTAAATGTAAGCACTTCTTTTTCTGATTTTTTTTTTTGATCTTATTTACAGACTCTTGGCTCCCAAATGTGAAATAATTCAGGAGTTGTCACAGTTATACCCATTTGAGCTGGTGCTGGGAATGAATGGAAGAATATGGGTAAAAGCAAAAACAGTTCAACAGACTTTAATTATAGTAAATATTTTGGAAGCCTGTGAGTATATGACTGCAGAACAGAGAAGACAAGCACTTGCCAAATTGTCAGGGAACTGATGAGAGAAAACTTTGAGGATTTGTTTGCGATGACTGTAGAGTGTTTTTGTTATTTTTGTATTCAGATTTATATTAAAAGCCATTTTTTAAATGAAGTATTGTGCTTTGGTTGTTCTTCATTTCCCTTCTTTATCCACTCAGCTTGTTCTTTTACTCACTGTTGTGATTATGAAGCCCTGTTTATGTTCACGTTTCTCAACTTTCTGATTGATATGGGGATAGTCTTTGGAAGCTTTCATTAGCTGTGAGTTTTGCAGTGTAACTAACTACTTAAGTCTTCTTTAAGAAAACTGATCATTTTGTAAACAGAATATATTTGCTTTTTTTAGTTGTATTAAAACTTCAAACAGTACATCTTTACTTAGGGGGCTCATTCATCCTGGTCAGATGCTCTTATTTATACAGTCACATGAAGTGGTTATTTAGTATTTTACAAAATTTGGGAACAGAAGTGCAGGTAGAGAATACCAGAAAATAATTACAGGGCATAGCATAAAAAAAATCACGGGGTGATTAAGGCAAATGATCAGATAAGACCAAACATACGCTCACATCAACCTTACAACTTTCACTAAAAGATAACTTGCCTAGTGGTATTAAGGAGATAGTGATTAGGACATAATAATAGCCATGTGTTTTTTGATTCTAGGCACTGGATCACTGGATTTATTTTCTTTAGTTCCAGCATGAAATACCATACAGCTTTGCTTAATGTTTAACAAAATCAGCATTTCAGAAAAAAGCTATATTAGGCTTCTTTGTGTAGTAGTTCCTCACATGCATATAGAGAAGATGCTGTTCAAGGAGACGTAAGTTCTCAGCGTGTTTTAGTATGTGAATAGTTTGCTACTGTTCCTCTGAAAGAGACCCCTGAATTAAAGAAAGGGTAATTACTGGTGCCTGCTTCCTGTGGGAGAAAAGCTTGACTGTACTTCATGAAGCGCATTGTAGCTGTTATGCAGTTACTTACATCTGTGATCTTCTGTGGTTCTTAATAAGCTAAATAGTTTGATAGCAAATTAGAAAAAACGGATTAATTAGAGTAAGCCTGAATACCATCTTAATTGAAGCGGAAACAAAGTTTTTCCTATTTTGTATTTCATCCAAAGTTTGATGATAAGGTTGTCTTTGGCATCTCTGTCAGTTAGAAATTGCTTCAATTCAGTGCCACTCCTCTGAGTCATCTGTAAAACGCTTACCTAGGGCTTCCCCTGATTCAACAAAAG